GTCTAGAGATGTCTAAGGCATTCCAAGAATTCTTCTCGAGTATTCTTGAGTCTTCTCCAAACCTCTCCAAGACTCTAGATTAGCCACTTATGCTTTAATTTTATGCCCAAGTGGTATGACAAAGTACCGAGACATGACACTAGGGTTCAAATTCCAGTAGAGACAAAAAAGACTCAAGAAATCTTTTTAAATAAGACACTAAAGAAATTCTGTATGAGCATAGCTTCAAGAAGCTCCTCTAACGGAAGAAAGCACTACTTTTCTTATTGATTATGCCATTTACCAGAAAAATTTCTGCACCAACAAACAAAATAAGCATCCTACAATCAAGAAAGTACATCAACTCGGTAAAGTTCTATTCAGAGTTTGTAATAGAATGAACACAAGACCACTTCTAAGACATACTATGTTTTACCTGCTTCAGAAACGTTGCAAGCTTTTTCACTTCAGTCTTTTCCTGAATCAGTTCTCCTTCCCTTTGATTTAATTGTACTGCTAAAGCTTCAACCTGTAAAAGATTCAACATAACAACAATTTACTGATAAGATGGAGGGAAATATGACATTTTCAACAGCAACTACTGCCATAAACAAGGATATTCTTCACACAAATTTTATTTTAAGAGAGATGCATGCAGCATAGGAAGATGCATCTGAAGTGATGGACTAATTTTTATCAGAGTTCTCTTAACATTGAGCCCAACCCTGAAAAGAAACAAACTGTTAAGTATGACACAGAAAATTCCCGATAGTTCTATAAGCACTTATTAAAGGGTCTTGAGATTATCTGAACTAGTTAACAACTTCAGCTTTCCTCATGTTTCTATTAACTGCATCATACAATTTCAGATTCCATTATAGTGCATGAAGCCTCTAAAAGATCTTCTCCAATGACTAATCACTCTGATTTGCAAAGTAAAAGATTATGCATCAGTTTTTTAGTTGGACCAATAATTTAGTGGGAATATCCTGTACATGAAAATTTAAGGTCATATCCCAAGTACAACAGCCAAGAAGTGCACACTCTTGGTCCAAGCAAGCTCGTATTCGTTGTAAACAAAGCTCTTAGCTCACATGTATTTCTCTTTCCTTCTCCAGCCAAATCTAGAGTCCAGAGTAATACAAGTCCATGCAAAACCAAGGATAGCAGCCTAGTCAGTAGATTGAAGACATCGAAGTTCACATTCTAGACACTGATCATTGGCGTTGGATGTATCAGTAAGTTATTTTGGGTCAAATCTTCTGTGTTTTTCCCATTTCATTCCAGTATAAAGATTAACGAGCTTCTTCAATAATACCAATTCCTGAAAAGCCTAGGAATACTCTTTGTCTTCCTCTAGTCTGGTGGACCCACTCTCTTATTAGGCTTCTCAGTCAAATATGCAAATTGGTTGGATTCCAAGAACATATCAGCACGAACAATTTAATCACAAAATCACATATAACAATATAAGTAATCATGCAGACAATTTGATATTTCAGTTCAAAACCAGAAAGTCAGCAGAAAACTGACGATGCTGGGGTCAAAATATGGAAGTATGGTACAAACTGTCTCTGGTGTCATAAATAGTAATGGCAGTCTTCATTTGCACATATACTTTATTTGGTACACAATATTATTTCTGCTAATTCTAAATATCACGGGCTATATCAGCAGCGACGTGCAAAGCATTTATAAGTAGCATATTCTTTTACCCAATGTTACAGGAAGTAAGCACAGCAAGTTTGCTGCATGCATAACATTAGAAAGTAGGTTTTCAGATTCTTTCCTTGCATGAATATTCATCTTGCAATAACAATATCACTCAAAAAGGGAATACTGAACAAGAAAAAGAAAGCTTGTAAATGACATAAAACTAACCATAGCAATAGCTTCCTCCACGTCATCCTTGTTTTTCCCGGCCACACGTCCTCTCAATGCTTCAAGAGCATCTCTGAGCTTCTTTAACAGCACATGCTTCTCCAGTGAAGCTGCATCTTTCATTTTTGCCTGGAGCCCACATATAAGATATTTTTATCACTATAGAGCCTTTACTGTTGTTCAATAAAATCATCCTCTTCGCCTTGAAAGAATGGTGTCTTGCATGGAGTAAATGATGTAACACTTTAAAGGTAGAGGCTATGTATCAAAAATTCAAAATTCACTTCTTTAATACAAACTCAACATTACAAGCCGGGAGTTGGCCAAAAAAGGAAAGATACTCCATGTTCCTTTTCTTTTTTTAAATAAATGGGGGGTAGGGGGAGGGGGAGGGGATTACAAGGTGGGGGATTGGTAGCCAACCAACTAAATTACTAAGATTTCCCCTATTCCATGTTCCTGACTTATCCCTTCATTGATTTTAGATTATCACAGGGGTAATTGGCTGATAAGGCAACTTCTGTGTTAGGACAATGGAACTAGCCATTCAAGAGTAGTGGAAATACCAAAGCATAATTAAGGTGTTACCTCATCAGACAACTTGGCAGCAGCAGCCAGACCCTTTTCAAATTTACTGGCTAGATCGCGAACAGACAGCCTTTTTTGCTGCTCTAGTAAGTGTGCAGTTTCTCTAGCAACCACCTCTTTCATTGTAAGTGCCTTAGAATCCTGCTTGACCTCCATAATCTGATTGTTAGGTCCAATTTTGTAATTTGGAAAGCGACTAGATGGGAAGATCACATCTGCTGATACAGGAGGAACAGCATCCCTTTGCATTGTATCTCCAAAATCAAGGGTTACCCTTGTCATAACTCCAAATTATCTACATCAAAAGTCCCTAATCAATTAACCATAATCTTCCAAAAACAGTCACATATGGTCTATCTACCTTAAAACTCACACAACACAAAAAGAGAAAAAAATCTGCACCGTCAACCATAACTCTTTCACCTAAAGATCATAGATGTCTCTATCCACCAAACAGAAAATTTACCTACATTGCCATATAAATCCAAATTTAAAGAGTAAAAATACTTTTTCACCTAAAGATCATGGAGGTCTCTATCCACCAAACAGAAAAGTAACCTACATTACCAAATTAATCCAAATTTAAAGAGTAAAAATCAAAACTTTATACCTAAAACTAGAAACTAACAGCCTAAAGATATCAACTTTAGAGCAATCCATGGCTAAAACAACAAAATCCATGAAAATTATTGACCAGAAGATCAAAACCCTTCAAAAGCTCATACCCAAGTCAACTAATTAACATAGGATACCAAGAATATCAAGAAAAATTGTTCCATATAGCTAGAGAAATGTTGCAAATTCCAAGAATGGAAAGTTCTTAACAGAATCAAGAAGTTAATACGCTAAACTCAACAAAAAGAGAGAAACAAAACCACAAATATAAAAAAGTACAGTAACAACATACAACACACAAAAAAAAAATAGAAAGATTGTAGACACTCACATATCATACAAAGAAAAATGAGTTAAACAGAAGTTTTGGGTCCTCTAAAAAAGTTGGAAAAAATGGATTCTTGAATTGGTTGTGTAGCAAGAAGAGGCAAGTCTTGTTTTTGATGATGTTTTCCAGACAGAAAATGTGAAGAGAGAGAGAGAAAGTTAAAGAGTTTATATTTGGAAAATATAGAAAGGAGTAGAGAGAGAGGAAGATGGTCTTTGAATGCTTTTTAAAAAGTTGAAGAGAAAAAAAAAAGGCCCCCCCACCTTGTACCAAATGGGGGTGGGGTTTGGCATGTAGGGCTCTGTTTCCTAGGCATATATACATGTAAGTATTGTTTACATGTATTTGTTTGGTAGCTGCTAACTCCCAAAGGATACTTAACTTGTAGTAGTAATTATTTATTTATTTATTTTGTTTCTCACCCGATGTTCGGTATTTATATTGGAGTTCGACTTAATTTAGATTCACATCGAAAAGTTTCACATTAGGGATAATATGCTCCCTAACAAAGGAGACTCGAACATGAGACCTCTTGATTAAGGATGAAAGAGTATTTACCGTAGTAGTAATTATTTTTTTTAAAATAAGTAATATTTTTACTTTTTTTTTGTTTGTTTTCTAGAGAGTGAATATAAGGATTTTTAATCTAAAAGGAGTAATAGGAATATCTAGTGATTTAGGTATGAAATTGATATTGCCCCTATTCCAATTTATTTGGTATTTCTTTTCAAAATGAATCACATCTTTGTTATTATTGAAATGAATTTAAATTTTTTTTTTATGAAATGATTTATAATTATCTAAATTTTTAAGATTTGTTTTTAGATCATTAAGTTAAAAAGTTTTTCTTTTTAAAATGAATTGTGTCAAGTTAAATAATGTCACGTGAATTGAGACAGAAAGAGTATTAATTTAAGAATTTTTAATAGTCTTTCGTTAGCTTATTTGGTTTTTTAGAAGTGAAGTAATTTATCTTTCTTTCTTTTTTAGGAAATTTTCTTCTTTTTTTTCAGGAAGAAAATTATCATTGAAAAGTCTCTTTTATGTGTTCTAATATTTTTAAATGGAAAATTAGGAACTTATAGTAAATGAAATTAGTAAAGTAAGATATCGAAATTCTTGCTTTCGTTTTGTCTTTACTCTTCCTTTCATCCTCTTATTGCATGTCCCACTCAACTCTGATACACAGAAAAAAAAATTGTTTGAAATTTAATGGATAAGAATAAACTCGAAGATGTATCAGTAACTTTACTTTTGCTATATAAATTCAGTTTCATAATGTTATTATCGTAAACTAGAAGATGTATCAGTAACTTTACTTTTGCTATATAAATTCAGTTTCATAATGTTATTATCATACTCTATTTACTGAATCGGATTTAGCTATAATATAAGCTTCTATTTTTATGATCTTAATCTAATTATATTAGACAAACGACTTTTTTAATAAAGAGAAATTGGAGAAAATGTTGATTTTTGAAACATCAAACCTCTGTTAGTGTCCTCTGAAAAGACAATACCTATAAGCATACGCAAATCAATTGCTAATAAAAAGTAGAACCTTAAATACTATTAGAAATAGTGAAAAATGCTCAAGGATATTTTATCCTTAAAAGCCTGTGAATATTAAAGTTAGTAAAATAATAGCTATTAAAGTGTAAATTGTTGGTTTTTCCTTCCCTGTGCATATAAGATGATGATCTCAAGTTACAACAACTTCATATGAAAGGAGAATAATAATATTAAGAAAGATAGTTTCCAAGGATAGAAAACTGCAATTCCTTTTAGGGACCAAATAGCTCTGATCTTTGTTGTAGGTCTAAATAAGAATGAGAATCCCCTCCCCCCCCCCCCCCCCAAAAAAAAAAGAAGCAAAAAAGAACATTACTTTTGATACGATAAACAAAATTGAACTATATCAAGGTCCAAATTGTATGACTTTGATATGATATTCTTTAAATGTGGATTCATGTAGAACATCAGGTCACCATATGAACATGGTATATAGGAGAAATGTGAGGCCTAACCTAAGAAGTGTTGCCCCCCTTGAAATGAGTGTATAAACATCACATCTCCTACAGTTGTTACCAAAGCTCATAGTGAATCTGAAATACGTCATGTAGTTGTATCTACCAAATAATGAGAATATATTTGAGATTCAATCATAAATCACTTTGTCGTTCTATGTAACCCTCCCTCCTTCCCTTCTTCCTCTTCATCTTCACCCTCTAACATAGTAAAATAAAGAAGGACTCTTTAAGATTTAATTTTTCTTCTAGCTGACAGAAAAAATTAAAAAAAATAAGATGGTACTTTCATTTTATTGGTGAAAATCTAACTAGAAAGTACTTTCTCTGATACTTTTGAGAAAAGTGCCGTATTTGTTTTGTTTTTGAAAAAAAAATGTTGATCATGAATTAGTTAATTTGTGTCACCAGCAGCCTCAACTCAAAGGCGTAGGTTGATCTCTCTAGTTAAGGTTGCATTTGTTTATTCATATTCAACTTAACATGTGGAAAAGACTTGCTCTACTAGTGACTAAGCTTGATCTTCCTCCATTCTCGCATTATTTCTATACACTAAAAAAATGAAATTGAGAATCTCGAGACCCTTTATGAGTGTATGTCTTGATAGAGTGATTAAAAGAAAACATGTGTTTGATTCTTTATTGCATTCAGTTTTACTATTTTGATCGAATAAATTGTTTTGTCAAATGACCAAATCATAGTGAATGTACATATTGATGTTTCCTTGATCATTTGGATATGAATTAACATTATGTCATTTCTACCAGTGATGATCCTCTCATGATATTATATACGGACTTAGAGATCAAATATAATATATTTCTTTTCATTTTCTGTGAGCCACTTATTTCTGAAACAAGAAAATAAAGTCATATTCCTCTTTTTATCAAAAAGTCGATGATGTTACACTATTAGAATATTTCAAATAAACTTGGGTGCATATAAGATATAATTATGCTAAAATCTTTTCTCAAGATATCTTTCAAATTATTGCGGTCTTTGTTATGAATCTTGTTCTCGATATGAAATCAATTGGTTTTGTAGTTTTCGAATTCTACTGATCCCAAGTAGTTCATCGCCATCATTGCATAGGAATATAGGAAGTAATTTGAGGTCATTTGGTCATTTCGAATTTAAATTATTATTTTTTAATTAAAAATGATTTTGATCAAGTTTTGTATGGACATGAATTTCAAAAAATTGTAATAAATCTATGTCCGAAATTTTTTCCCAAATAATATTTTGAAAAAAGTAAAAAATATTTTGAGCTAATAGAAAAGAAAGAGGAAAGTGTTTATCCTAAATATTATTTTGCATGTACCTTTATATTAACTACTAAATATCTTTTTCTCGCTATCACATTTTATATAGTACATACTTTTTATTATTATTTTTCAAAAATCAAAAGTGAATGATGTCTTTATACCCTTAAATTATAAAGTACCATATTCTTCATGAATGCAATTTATTTGCCGCTCAAACTAGTATAATATAAACATATACAAATTAAAAGAATATGTTACTTATTATTTATTATACTTACTTATATTTTAGAACGGATATGACTTTTCAACATATTGACAAGTCATCCAACAAGCTCTTAATTAGTTCAATCAGCATGTATAAATTTATTTGAGCCCGAATTAATTATGCTAATTAAAATAAACAAGAGTTAACATAATGAATATTCCAGAAATGTCAAATTAATGAAATCGTAATTGGAAAGAAATTAAAAGTTGGGCCATAAAATTTATTATTGACAACTGTTTCTCTTTATGAGGATTTTTATTTTTACTAAAAATAAGCTAAGCAATTATGGTTAAGCTATGTAGCTTAGTTGTACCACTTATAGTTAAATATTTACCAAATCAATGAAGTTTAATTTTAATTGTTCAACATTAATATGAGAATATGTAATATTTAATTAGCAAATATAAAGAAGACAATTAGTCAAATAAGTTCGTATTGGTTAAAACATCCAGTACAACTTTTCTATAAAAAAATATTAAACTGACAGTACTCGTGACTAACAGGTTGCATTATAAATTATTTTTCGTTAAACTAATTACTTTTCTGTAGACTCAAAACTATATATGAATTGAAGAGATAACAAAATAGTCATTTAACGTTCGAGAAGCAATACATCAAAAATGATATTTAGCAGTAATTAATTAATGATATTTTTTCCTCTATCTATTAATATTTGTCCAATATTGACTTTGCACACTTTTTTAAGAAATTATAAACATAGGAGTAATTTTACTATATCACCCTTTGAATATAATAAATATTCACTCTATTTCATATTAATTGAATTGTTGAGGTGTTTCACACCCTTTAAGAAAAGAAGATTAAGACATAAATTAGGCATAACTTTCCATTTTTACCCTTATTAATTATTATCAAAATTATGATTAAAATAACTAAACATTAATTAATAACTAATTCCAATACTAACTAATGAAGGGTAAAATTGGAAAAACATTCTAAAAGTAGGCTTGAAAATTGAACAATTAAGTTAATTTGAAAAATGAAAAATGTCTCAACAATTCAATTAATATGGAAATGACTATAATTAATGGTAAGGGTAAATTAGAAAATGTAAAATTATCTTAATTTCATAAAATAGAAAAGAATTGTTGGACATTCCAAAATAATATAGTGGACAACTACTGTTGGACGGAGGGAAGTAGCTTAGCAGCAAGTACTACATTTTAGCACTTTTTATAGATACGGTTAAAATCTATAGCAACATTAAATCTAATAACATTTTTTTTTTCAAATAGAGTACTTTAATTTTATTATTAACAATTAATAACAAAGTCATTTTCTATATTACTTTGTGTTAGTTGTGTAACGGCAGAAATTAGAATTGCCAATTAGTTAGGCAGTTGAATATACTTAATTAAAGTTAATTATGCTTAAATCTTAAATCACCTAACAAATGGGCTCCACTTCACTTTTAAATGGAAAAATATTCATAAAATAAATAAAATACTATAATTAGACTGATTATATGTGGGTCCCAAAAGATGCCACGCGTCTGCCGACGAAAGTGAACATACGAAAGACACGCACGCAACTTTGTTTGTCTCGTGTTTTTTTGTAAATCCTATTTGTTTTATTTTAATAAAATAGTTGTTTTATCGTAAGAATATTAGAAAATAGTTCTTATTTTTAACGTAAAAGGTTATATTTGAAAATTAGAATTGAATTTGAGAATGAAATAAATTAGAATTATAAAAAAATTTGTGAATAATATATAATGAAAAAAAATTAAAAAATAATTTTTTATTGTTTTTGAAATTTCTTGAAATAATGATTTTTTAACTAAAAAAAAATGATTTTATGATTATATGCCCCTAAATATTTAATAGCTAAATTTTGAATTGAAGTGATTAATTTATTGAACATTGAAAATTTCGAAAAGGCAACCTAAAATGGGCGATTTCAAATTTGACTTCAAAAAGAGTTGCTTTCGTTTAATAATTCTCCACCACAAGTCATCTCAAACCTTTATTTATTTTTAACTTTATTTTAAAAGTTGGGCAAGGAAAGGAAATAAAAAAATTATAAATTAAGTTAAGAACATCATCTAGTTTTTAAACAATACTTGAGAGTGGAAACCCACAATTAGTGATTGAAATCTTAATTAAATTTCAATCTCTAGTATTACTATTAAAAACAACTCAATAACCGATTCAGAGAAATTGAGGCATTCGATCCGTCAAAGAAATCGAGGAGAAACCGATCGTATTCCTCAATTTCTATATTTTCATTTATTTTGAAATTATTTTTTATAAACCATGTGTATTTTTTCAAATAATTTTTATTCGGATAAAATGGATAATTTAATGGGCAAGGTACGTATTCATTAAAAAAATTTATCAATCCGACCCTATCAGTCATTTTGTTTGATAATTTATTAATTTATTAAATAAAAATAATAATTTTATATTTATTTAATTCAAAGTTTTGACAGATAGGATCGTGTCACGACTAAAAGTTGAGGTCATGATGGCACACATCCTAACCCCAAGCCTGATGCGTAAGCCGAAGCAAAGATGAGATAAATAGACATGAGAGACCTCTAGAACGAAGTCAAACCATAAACAAAGAAAAAATGAGATACAATAAGGAATTCCCAAAACCTAGTATCATAAGCATTAAAGAACATTATAATACAATAGTTGAATCTGAAATACATCACTTGCCTTTGAAATATACATAAAACTGAAATGAAAGGCGAAGCACCAAAATGATGATCCGAAAGCAAGATCTCGCCATAACTTCGAAAGCAACTCTCCCAACACTATCAATCAACTGTCTAGAGTACCGCTCATATTAATAGTTGCAACAAAAGCTTACAGAAGAAGGGGTGAGTACGATCCACTTGTACTCAATAGGTTAGGCCGACTGAGTAAAGTAGAAAACCATTACTTATAAAATAAACAACGAAGCGCTTCCACCTGCATACATAAAAGTCTAGCATCGGCATCGGTGCCAACGGAGAGCTTCCACCTGCACACAGAAAAGTCTCACATCGGCATCGGTGCCACAAATATATATATATATATATATATATATATATATATATATATATATATATATATATATATATATATATATGAATGGCGTGACTAAAGTAAACAAATACTCTACACACAAATTTCAAAATCGAGAAGTTAATTACACCGACAAATAAGATTAACCAATGCAATGCATATGATAATGATGTGGTGATACAAAACTGTCGCACACCTGTTGTATACACCTCGTTGTGCCTTAGCTCCCAAGACAAAGATCCATGGGGACTCACAGTTCATATACCAAATATCTTATAATCTCAATATCTCATCAACTTGTAATGACTCTTTAGGTCTTTTTTTGTTTTTTGATATTTTTGACATAGAGATTTTCAATAGCGACCCTAAGTCATTTGTGACTTGCTAGGACTAAGAGTTTGGTCACCTGGTCGTTCGTTAAGTTTTTGTGTGAATTTCGATTCTAAAGTTTGAATAGTTGACTTCGGTCAAAACTTCAAGTACACGACTTGTAACGACCCATAAAATGAATAGGTGAAACTAGAGCCTAACGATTTTATTTTTGAGTTTGGTATGAGATTATGAGTTGTAAAAT